TCCTTTTCGTGACTTTTTTAACAAGATATTGGTATGTTCAATGTGATGCTGCTTCTTTGAACATATATAGACCAAAAAATGAGCGCCGAAATTTCGTTGTAGTATCCCTTTAAGCAAGGGACACATAAGCGATGAAAACGGGCGCCATGCGGCAGTATAATAGCAACCTATGCTGGCACCCTTACGTCACTTCCACGCAACACGACTGCGCTTTGATCTGGTTCATACAGATAAAGTAAAGCCCCAATATACTGAAAGGTAGGCAAACCATTGTCTGAAATGGGGAGAAGAAATTTCTCCTCGTCCATGCTCTTTCTCTCTCGAAAGCTCTCTTTCCCCTTGCTTCCGTTGGATTGGGCACGACTATACTCCGTCTAATCCTACGATGGACTAAAGCCCAATGCTACAGGCCGTCGGGTCCAAGCACGAACCTGCTAGAAACATGGTATATTTGCTCCGTCCTACGCATCAGTGCGCCAAGACGCTTCATGCGGAGGAGAGTTTTTCGTCTGCTATTCGAGCCCTCGTGGCGGTTCCTTCTGCTTTCTGCTACTGAAGGGATTAAATACCGTCTGAAAGCGATGTGCCAAAAATAACCCGGGATCAGAACCAGAGGCCTTTAAGAAATGAAGCTGAGTCGGATCGAGAGTTCGACAAGGGAGCGTATGTATGGACCACGTGCGGAAAGGAGATGCGGGTCCGGGTACATTTTACGTACACAAAAATTGGATTGGATTGTTATGGCTAAGGCGAAACAACTTTACGGCAATGTTGCCTGCGCACCCTTCATCTCTCCAAACAGTTGACATGTTTACTAAATATGGCATGAATGCTTATGGAACTAAATATCGTATACCTTTACTTCACCAATATAAAATAGCGGTCAATCACACCAGAGAACCATATGCGTAAGATTAGTGTTCTTCGTAGTTTGCGTAGTGGAATTTCTATCGCGCACTCCTCTGGAAAGCGGATGCAAGCTTTTCTGAGGTAGTGCTCCACCCGTCAGCCTTCAGGCCTTAGTCCATCGTAGGGTGAGACGGAGTATAGTGGCCGTTGCTTTCCCATGATCCCGCGCGATTCAGCGGTCTGCTAGAAACCGGCGCCATCTTCGTGCGAGGCGTAGCCGTGGCTCCGTTGTCTACAACCAAACCGAAAGTTTTTTTGTTTTTTTTTTAATTTCGATTTTTGCAGCAATGCGATGCCGTCATGCTGCGCTGTGCATTGTACAAAGAGCATTGCGAAAGGGAAGAAGCATTTTGCCGTTCCAACGAGAAAAGAAAATCTTCAGCAACGAAGACAATGGCTACACCGGATAGGTCGGAAAAGTTTTGACAGCCTCCTACAGAGAGTTTGCGAGGTAAGTCATTTAAAGCTCTGGATCGCATGACCTTTCTCTTGGTTTTGCCAATGAAGATCGCCAAATTAGAGCATGAGACGAGACAAACACGGAACTAAGTTATTGTGTTTCAGGAAAAATGAGTCCGACCTTCTGAGCAACGAAATGAGCCTCCCAGCTCTAAAAGAAACAGTATTGATCTCGTTGTTTACTGCCAACGCCTTTCCGACATGCCACGAAGTTCACAAAAGGTTGCGACATTGTCTCTGCGAACAAGGATGCACATTCTTGTAAAGAAACATTGTCGAAGCGGACCTTTGTGAAGAAACATTGTCGAAGCGGACCGAAAGGGAGTGGCGTTAAGAAAACCTAGTAGCAGGAGCATCGCAATGAGAGATGCAGTCACAAATGTGCAATAAATGCTTTTCTTTTATGTTTTTTTTTGTACCACTGGTTTTGTATAGATATATGTGTGATCGAAAAAAATGAGACCATTTATGATTCTCTGCAATGACGAATTAGAGCGCAGTTCTTGAGGAGGAGGATGGGGAGGGTGCAGAGGGGAGGGTATGCCCCTCCTCTTCTGCTCTCCTCCCATTTAGCTGAAACTGTCTGCTGAATTTCCCGTTAAATTAAGCAAAAATTTCCTCGCTACATTTAGTGAAAAAAATTGCCGCCAAATTTAGCGGGAAATTTAGAAAAATTTTGCTGCCAAGTTTAGCAAAACAATTATCAAAAATTTCACTGCTAAATTTAGCGTGGAAATCTTTCCGCTAAATTTAGCGGGAAATTTAGCAACAAGTTTCCCGCTAAATTTAGCAGGGAAACCTTACCCGCTATATTAAGCGGCGGTTACACTGACGCCGACGCCGCTCAACTCGGAAACGGGTGCCTAAGAGCTGCGCTTTAAAAAATGTTGTTTCGGACCCTCAGCCACAGCAGAACACTAAAATCCAATGACATCCTAAATAAAAAGGGTTGGTTTGCCGTGCTTAGGATTTCTTTTGTGTGGGAGGTTGTATATGACGTGAAAAGTCCAGTAGTTATTTTGTGACAGACATCTTTGTAGTTGAAAATAAATTTTTCTGGAAAGGGCAATAGGCCAGATAATGACAAATGTGCAATATGTTGCTTTGTAGCAATAAATATTTTATTGTGTTCATCGTTGTATGTGATTTGTCCTCTGTAATTATTAGAACAATTTATTGGCAATAAAAAATTGCTTGTCTTTTGAAGTGTTTGCTGAAGGATCTCCCTGTCCTCATTTGTAACTCACGCAGGAAGGTACGCACGCGGGTGTGTGGCAAAGCTTATACGCTTCGCGAGTGAACTCAAGGGCGTACTTTGCACGTGAGAACCTTAAAACAATATCTCGAAACACAGTAAGGATGAAAGACGGCCTCCCCAATAAATGGGATAAATAAGAAACGCACTAGATGGCAACCGAGAACGCGCAATGTTTTATTTTAATCGAGGGGAAACGAGTATGTGTATTTGATGGCTAGTTTTATGCTCGAGGCGTGTGAACAGCAAACGTCGCATATTCCTCCGTGCACATGTGCACAGTTGCAGGTAGTATTCAGTGCAAGCCGATGTCCCAAAATACTCAAAACTACATTGCCATTTCTTTTTTTTGTCGTCAGCGTTTAGAGGAATTAAAGAAAGTTTTGTCTGCATCCGAGGGTTTCCAACTCCGCTCGCATTATTACATTAGCTGATCGAGACGCCTTCCCATGATTAGCAACTCCAATAAAGGTGCACAGGGGCTAGTTTCTTCACGTTAAAAAACAAAACTGTCTTCATATTTGAAAAAAAAAAAAAAAAATTCTGTAGTCCGCCGTCTGCAAAAACAAACAAGTACGGCCTGGCGCACAGGCGCGCGCCTTGTGGGCCTCGCAAAAACAGGGCAGTGGGGGTCAGGCGCAGGAGGACAAGGAGGATTGCCCTCGATAGAAAGGAGAAAAACGCGGGGAGAGGAGAAATTACGCTACCTTTCAGTATATAGGTTGCATGCACATGACGCCAATTCGCCATTTTGTTGTTAGTTTGTTTTTTTCAAATTTACTACATTGAAGGGTCACATTGTAACCGGTTGAGATGTCACTGGTGCTCTACGCATTTGAGAGGGCATGCAAATCCTTGGAATGCTTGAGTTTGGCACACACCAGACAGCTCACAACAAAATGGTGGACCGAATTACGTCAGTGAAAACACCCTATAGAAAGAAAGCCGCGTGGTGCGCCTGCGGCCCACCTAGCGGCGAGGGGCGAACAGCGTGCAACACCCAGTTTTACCGCACCTGTGTTTCATGCTTTAGTTTTACCGACAATATTCATTCCTTTAAAAAAATGTGAGAATGTTAGCCATCAAAGCAGCAGAAAAACAAACTATCCTGTGTTATAATGCAATTAAATGCAAAGCTGCAAGCGAGCTGGACAAGAATGACGAAATTAATCCCTGGAGAAGGGGAACAAGGGGGACAAAGGACAAACATAAATCTCCAAACAACAGCTAGGTGACTGGTGAGCAACCGAAAAAAATCCGCCTGGTCCGGGTATCGAACCCGGGACCTCTCCATTACTAGTGGAGCGCTCTACCAACTGAGCTAACCAGGGGTTAGACATCAGTAGAGCAAACGGGTTTTATCAGCTGCCATCAGTCAAAAGGGGTGTCCAAACAGGACACTACAAAACTCACGACTCCGGCAAATCGTAAAAATTGAAGCGGGCGCTTCTATTTTTACGGTCTGTCGGAGTCGTGAAAATGTTTGCAGGAGCCGTGAAAATTTTTACAATCACGACTGCTCTCCTCTTCAGATTGACGTCACACGCCACCTGCGTCTGGCTCACCTTGCCAACGCCTTCGCGTACCGCCGTCGCCTCGGCTCGAAGGCCAAGGAGGTCCGGCTTCGGGTGGATTTGGGACATTCCTGCGTCGAAGGGTGCGTTTCGCCCGCCTCGGATCTGCTTTCTTTGTCGAGATTCACTTTCGTCGTGATGGCGTCCGATGCGGTTCCGTATTGTGAGCGGAGGCCTTAAGCGATTGACCGACAGCCAACAGAGCGTGTGAGTGGCTCTCCAGACCCACGTGACAAGCAGAGCAAGGCCGCCGTGGAGGAAGCGAGGGGGAGATTTGACGGAGGGAAGTTTCCCCCCGGGAAGAATTGACGGAGGGAAATTTCCCTCCGACGGCCGGAAGCGGATCGCGGCAGAGCGCGGCACGATTTGCCGGAGTCGTGAGTTTTGTAGTGTCCTGTTTGGACACCCCTTAACAACACCCGGACCAGGCGGATTTTTTCGGTCGCTCACCAATCACCTAGATGTTGTTTGGAGATTTATGTTTGTCCTTTGTCCCCCTTGTTCCCCTTCTCCAGGGATTAATTTCGTCATTCTTGTTCAGCTCGCTTGCACCTTTGCATTTAATTGTATTATAATATAACCTTAAATTTGCAAGCTTCACCCCTGTTGGTGTTAGACTGGTGGCAGCTGATAAAACCTGTTTGCTCTACTGACGTCTAACCCCTGGTTAGCCCAGTTGGTAGAGCGCTCCACTTGTAATGGAGAGGTCCCGGGTTTGATACCCGGACCAGGCGGATTTTTTCCGTCGTTCACCAGTCACCTAGCTGTTGTTTGGAGATTTATGTTTGTCCTTTGTTCCCCTTCTCCAGGGATTAATTTCGTCATTCGTTATCCTGTGTTACACACAAGAAAAAGAAAAAGGAACTTTTTAGCAAACAATGAAACCTACGGTTCGAAAATTCTGATGCAGACAGCCAGGCAACACGGAAACAACTGCCGGGAAAATGGACACGGAGCGACAAAATATTGGGAAAACCTAAAACAAAGAAAAGTGATATCTGAAAGCAGGTGTCATAAATACATGACTGTGAAGATGCCAGTGCAAAGAGGGAAGGCAAAAACACTTTCAGTATGAGCATGTTAGTTACGAATTTTCTGCAAGTTTCGTCAATGCAGTTCAGAAGGGGCATTCAAAATGGATACAGCACCAATCTATAGCGAAAATTGCTGGGCAGAGCGAGGCATTCAACTAACGACGTCCCAACCGGTAGCAGCAAGTTTCGCGGTGTATACACAGACTCGGCAATTAGTTCCCCACCGAGGTAACTGCTAAAATGAGGTCTTAGCACTGTAAAGGATGTCAAAACAAAAATCTTGGAAAAGTTACTCCACACTACTTAATTCACACACTTCCATTTGACTACAATCGACTGAGACAAGACCAGTTTTCAAGGCTCTTGTGACTGCTTACAACCGGTTGCACAGCAGTGCAGTAAGTTGTAAACCCTCACAAGAGGCTCAAAAACGAGTTTCTTTGGTCATAAGCAGTCACAAGCATGCCGGACCAGCCGTTACTTTAGTACCATAATCTGCAGCAGCTGAAAGAAACAAGTGTAAAAGTCAAAACTGTCGACCTTTTTGTTTTTTAATAATCAAGATGGAATTTAGGTCGTACATTAACTTTTAGCACGATTACATCTTCCTTCCCCATAGAAAAGAGTAGTATAAAAAAAAAAAAACGAAGACATTTTTACAAACATATTAGACCTTGTCTCAAGAAGAATACATCGAACAAGTTCAAGGGAGCTTGGAACAAGCAATAGAAAATGACCCAATGTAGATACAGGTGCAGAACACAGAGTAGCTGCTTTGAAATTCATTAGGCAATTTCTCCCATTCATTAACCCAGCCTCCAGATCACAGCTGGAGAAGAATCATATCCTACACACAATACGTTTGTGCGATGACAAATTATGGCATTCGGACGAAAGGCTGCAGAGCATTGCCAAAGAGTCTGACTGTGTAGCCAACCAAGCTGGAAAAATGATAGAGACTTCTTGGATATTGCTGGCATTTGAAAGGCCTACCTGCTGCAGGCTTTAAGCCAATGCCCTTAGGGTTTGTTAACCTAGTGCATTAGCATGTGCCCAATGAGGCAAGGCCGTTTAGAAAATGGCCTGGAATGCTGCTGGGATTTGTGATGCTTCTTATGCATAAGCACTTCATTGCGGTGAGCTTCACTATAAAGCTGAGCAAAGGCCTTGGGACCTATTTTGCACTGAGTTATATGCATACTTTGATTGAAAAGGCATTGTTTTGCACAAGCTAAATTACACATGGGGCAGACTAAACTTACGGGCCAACCACGAGGCATTCCATACGTGTGCATTTGGTTCTGGAGTAAAAACAACTACACTGACCAAAGCTTTTAGGGCATTGTTTGCACTTGTATAGTTTTTAAGGTGATAAAAATCTCTTAACTTTTTATTTTTTATTATTTTGCTGAAATTTAGCATACTGATGCATCTCAGTGGTGATTTTAAACATACAATTAGTCTTTAGGTAGCTTTACTAGATCCCGAGTTATCAATATGGAATTTTAATTAGGTGCTTCTTACAGATTGTTAGTGTCTAATTAAGGCTTTAGAACTATATAATTAAAATGATTGTATCACATAAAGCAACAGAAATAGCATCACTGCACAAAGCATGTCTTGGTGAATGCAATTCTATAGGCAGTTGATATATTCTAAAGAATTTTATGCTAACCACCCATAATGAGGGCCTAGTTAAAATTATGAATTTATTGATAGCTCAGGATATAGTAAAGCTATCTGAAAACTCATTGTGTATTTGAAATCACCATTGGAAAATACATCAGTATACTAAATTTCAACACGATAAATGAAAAATTAAGAAAGTTAAAGACCCTCATTCCCCCTTGAACACTGTTTTTGATAATGGTGGATCAGACTAGTATTATGAGAAAAGGCTCTGGGGGCACTGCTTGCACTTAAATGACTTCACCTGTATGTGTTAGATTATGGTTTTGTGGAGAGGAATTTTGAGCAGACTAGGGGGCGCTGCTTGCACTTAAATGGCTTTTCACCAGTGAGTTTGATTTCTCAGAGCAGTATTTTCAGCAAAGGCTCGGGTGCACTGCTTGCATTTTAATGGCTCTTCACCAGTGTCTTTCGATTATCGCTTTGAAGATGGGAATTTGTAGCAAAGGCTTGGGGGCACTGCTTTCACTTAAATGGCTTTTCACCTGCGTGTGCTCTGTTGTGGTAAGACAGACTCCTACTCTGAGAAAAAGCTTTGGGGCACTGCTTGCACTTAAAAGGCTTTTCACCAGTGTGTGTTCGATTATGATTTCTCAGAGCAGCATTTTCAGCGAAGGCTCGGGGGCACTGCTTGCACTTAAATGGCTTTTCACCAGTGTGTGTTCGATTATGTTTTCTCAGAGCAGTTTGTTCAGCAAAGGCTCGGGGGCACTGTTTGCACTTAAATGGCTTTTCACCAGTGTGTGTTCGATTATGGTTTTGAAGATGGGAATTTTCAGCAAAAGCTTGGGGGCACTGCTTGCACTTGAATGGCTTTTCACCAGTGTGGGTTCGATTATGAATTTTCAGGGATGAACTTCCAGCAAAGGCTTTGGGGCACTGCTTGCACTTATATGGCTTTTCACCTGTGTGTGTACGATTGTGGTGGGCCAGCCTGCTACTGTCAGCAAAGGCTTTGGAGCACCACTTGCACTTGGATGGCTTTTCACCAGTGTGCATTCGATTATGCCTTCGCAGATAAGAATATTGAGCAAAGGCTCGGGGGCACTGCTTGCACTTAAATGGCTTTTCACCAGTGTGTAGTTGATTATGACGACACAGCTCAGAATTTTTAACAAAGGCTTGGGGGCATTGCAAGCACTTAAATGGCTTTTCACCGGTGTGCAAATAATTATGGTAGGTCAGAAGGGAATTACAAGCAAACTCTTCGGGGCAAAGCTTGCACTTAAATGGCTTTTCACCTGTGTGTGTTCGGTTGTGGTAGATCAGATCTTTACTATGAACAAAGGCTTTGGGGCATTGCATGCACTGAAATGACTTTTCACCTGTGTGTGTTCGATTATGTCTTTGCAGAGAAGAATTTTTAGCAAAGGCTTTGGTGCACTTCATGCATCTAAATGGCTTTTCACCAGTGTGCAAATGATTATAGTAGGTCAGAAGGGAATTACAAGCAAACTCTTTGGGACAAAGCTTCCACTTAAATGGCTTTTCACCTGTGTGTGTTCGACTATGGTACATCAGACTTTTCTTCCAAGCGAAGGCTTTGGGGCATTGCATGCACTTAAATTGTTTTTCACCAGCATGTGTTCGATTATGACAGGTCAGAAGGGAATTATAAGCAAACTCTTGGGAGCAAAGCTTGCACTTAAATGGCTTTTCACTCTTGTGGTTCCCAGTGTTGCTGAGCACTTGGGATGAGCCAGACATGGAAGGATGCTGGCACTTGGATTGTTCATCACCATGGGCAGCCAGATGGCTCAAAATTGCATGCTGATCTCTGGTGACATAGGTGCAGGAACAGCATCCGAACCAGATGTCCTCGGTGACTTTCAGGGGGCAGCTGGCTTCCCCTAACCATCTGACTCCATCACCTACAAGAAAATACCATATGTATTGACACACAAGGAAAGCCCAACCAAGATCCAGATGCAGCTGTCCTGTTTAATAATTTGCTGCAATTTGAATTCGATTCACACAAGCACTCATTTGCAACTGGCACCATTAAGGGGAGTCTCCAGTCTTTTAAAGACACATGCAAAGGAAAAAAAATTTTTTTAGACAGCTTAGATGGAAAAAGGATGTCATAAAACGATTTTACAACGAAGAAAAAAAATTTTTAGAGCTATATTTACGGCGCTATACGAATTTGTAGTTGGCGCTCGCGGTGGTAGGCCCGCGCGCCGCCGCGCTGCGTCGCTGCCGCACGCTGAGTGTTGTGCGAACGCCGCTTCAACGCGTTTCTCAACGCCGCCGTCGCCGCCGCCGCACAAGTTCGTCTGCTTCGGGGCGCCGCCGCCGTCGTCTGACTGGCGCACAGGTCTATCACGTCTGCTTGCGCTTTTTCAGGAGTTCCCTTTGGGCTCTAAAAGTTACTTATTCGTCTTGGTTTTTTGTTATACTTCAAACAAAGATGAATAAGTTACTTTTAGAGGCCATAGGAAGCTTCCAAAAGAGCACAAGCACCACGTGATAAATAAAGACCAGTCACGTGATAAATACAAACCACTTTTCCGCGGTGCCCGCGGGCGCCAACTACAAATTCGTTTTGCGCCGTAAATATAGCTCGAAAAATTTTTTTTCTTCGTTGTAAATTCGTTTTATGGCGGCCTTTTTCCACCTAAGCCGTTTAAAAAAAATGTTTTTTTCCCTTTGCATGTGTCCTTTAAGGAGAACCGGCACGACGAGGCTTCTCACGTCGCTCACAAAAGTCCACTGTGCGTCCTCTTCGACCTCACACCGTTTTAAAGAATTTGAGATTGCTGAAAGGGCCCAAAGAACTTCAAACTTGAAAGTGAAGCGTTGTCTGCTTACAGCGATGGGTGGCAGACGCAGGCACGGAAAAGAGTGTTTGATCACGGAATGCGGGCGACACGACACTTCAGGTCGGGATGATTCGGAGGCGTGTGACAAACTCGAGTTGCAGGACGACTCCATCTTTGACGTCACTGCACTGCTGTGGGTCACGCAGAAACTTTAAATTCGGCTTTGGGAAACTCTTTTTACTTAACAAATACTGTAAACTATTTATTGTTCGCGGGCTCAATATTTAGGTGAAAGCTGAAGTTTTGGAATAATTCGTGTTTTCATTTTCGCAAAGCAGTGGGATCTCAATCTAGATTCCAATGAGATTACATTTTACCGGAATTGTTCGCGGGACTTATTTTTCGCAAATTGTAGACGATTCGAGAAATTTGCGAAAATTAGGTCCTCGCGAAAATAAAGTCATTTACAGTACTTAGTTCCAAACTTCTGAATCTGGAGGGTAATATCCAAGCACTGGTTTTAAAGGGTCCACTAAACGAATTTTAGGCCAGGATAAATGAATTTAGATTGAGATTTTACTAATACCATATCGTTTAGTGGACAAAAAGAAAGAAGGTAGAAAGCCAAAAGCCTGACTTTCAGTAAGAAAATTTGAAAATACAGAAGACTATTTCGTACCTCCTACCCCTCAAAAGCTCTCTACCTTTTCACTGTGAAACATCCATGGTACCCAAATTGTGTCCCCCGGCCCAAACGCACGTCACGCGACACTGGACCTCACTTATTCCCTTCACCCCTGAGCTAACAGTGCAGTGGAAGCTGTGCGCTTGCCGGACCAATCAGCTGCCTCCCTTGCATCAGGTGACCTCGTTCTCAGGTGGGTATGCGCGAGGGCGTGTGATCAAGTGGCAAAAATGTGGCTGGCCAAACGAGCACGTAGCTTCCACAGCACTGTCTGCTTCGGGGTGAACGGATTGCGGAAGGCAACTTGTTCCAAGTTTTGAGCGACAGGCTAATCTTCTAGGAGGAGAATGGTGGTGTTTGGGTACACAAACAAGAATCCCAGCAAGAGGGGTTTCCCTCCTTTCAGTCTTCTTGAACTGTTTGGTACAATGCACAATTTGTGAGTTAAGGAGAGAACTTAATAAGGAAAAAGTTGAAAAATCTTTTCAAGTCCTTTCGGATTGAAAAAAAGATTTTGACCTGTCAGTGCCCCTTTAAGGAGAAAGATACAGGGCAGCATAAGACACACACAGGGCTAGACTTGAATATGCAGATAAAATGTGCCCTATATGTAAAGAGGAGGGAAACATTTGAACTTGCGATTCTAAAATGTAAGAAGCTTAGAGCTGCCCTTCCCAAAGGGGCGACAGACATACCAGGTGCCCCGAGTTTCGCTGCAGAAGATGGAAGAGTGGATTACAGTAAAGTAGACGCAATAATTAGGAGGTTAGAGTACCGGTAGAAATTATCTGGGGAAAACTGAACGAAGAACTAAGTAGCACAGATGGGGGACAGGAGGAAGATTGAGACTCCCTCCTTCGTGTCTCTGGAGCAGGGTCTCAACCCTGTGCCCCAGTGGGTCTGGTGTTGGAGCGACGCCAACTAAAGATTGGCGACTCCCTCGATGGGGGAATGAGAAGGAGGTGCGCGTATCTTGTTTGTTTGTTTTTTTCGCCGTTTCCTTAAAAAATACATGCAAAGGAAAACAATTTTTTTTTGGACAGCCTGGATGGGAAAAGAAAGTCATAAATACATAAATAAAACAAATTTACAACGAACAAGAAAATTTTTACATCTATATTTACGGCACGAAACGAATTTGTAGTTAGCGCCCGCGGGCACCCTTGGAAAAGTGGCCGCTATTTATCGCGTGACTGGCCGCTATTTATCACATATGGCTTGCACTCTTTGGAAGCTTCCTATGGTCTCTAAAAGTTACTTATTAATCTTCGTTTGAAGTACAACAAAAAATGAATATTATTAATGACTTTTAGAGCCTAGAGGAAGCTCCTGAAAGAGCTCAAGCACCACGTGATAGACCCGCGTGCCGGTCAGAAATAACAGTGGAGGCACGCCGGAGTGTTCCCTTCCGGCGGCTGCGGCAGCGGCGTAGAGAGATGCATTTAACCAGCAGCAATCCTAAAAAAATCTAAATTTTTTAGGATCGAAGCTCCTTAGGGTCTAGCCCTGTCTGGCGTCCGTGCTCACATCGATTGCTATCCCATCTGTCCTCTTAAAAAAAGAAAAAAATGTTTACGCAGTCGACAGGATTCAAACCTGTGCGGGGAGACCCCAACGGATTTCTAGTCCATCGCCTTAACCACTCAGCCACGACTGTGGGACGAGTAGGGGGCTCTGAAATGAGGTAGTAACTCAAGAGCTGGGGATGTGATAGATGAAACGTTGCATGTAGCCACTCAACGTCTATACAGGAGAGCGCGCTGCGGTCAAATGCGTGTATAATCGCGTTAACCTTTGCATGCATTGGCTCAACATCTATAGACGAGAGGGCGCTCCGGTCAAATGCTTAACTGCGTATATAACCACTATCCATACCACAGATTCTCTTTTTGACATGGACCGTTTACTTAAGCGGTGGAGATACGTTCCCACGGCTTCTAGCGGATCCAAGCTGATCCACCAGGAGAACCACTGGATCTGCATTTCACCGACCATAAAGCAGTAATAATGAAGTCGAAACGCAACCCGGAACTCAGCACTACCTATGAGCAATCAAAAAACATCAGCACCATCAGCACTACCTATGAACAATAAAATCAGTATCATCAGCACCAGAGCTTCAACCCCAATCAACATCATTCACCATGTGGAGATGCGGTCATTTTTTTTCTTCGTTGTAAATTTGTTTTATGACAATCTTTTTCCATCTAGGCTGTTTAAAACATTTTTTTTCCTTTGCATTTGTCCTTCAAAGGTCATCCCAGCAGTCACCCCCCAACCTGGTGATATTTACAGAACTGCATTGGCTAAAAAGGGGCAGAATCACATATTTCTGTTTTTAGTTTCGGTGGCACAAGCTAAGGCCCGTTTTAAAGGGTAGAGCTGTTAATATGCATCCTTCCATTCATCCAGATTTTGACCAAACATGTAAACAAGGTATTCTTATATAATTAACCAAAGGCAAAACTTCCTGAGCCTAAGAGTACTTTCAATTGGACTGTGCTTTGTCTATGTTTCAACGAGCAAGACTTGGCAGCGCATCTCTAAAGTGTTTGTTCATGTAGAATAGGAAAGGGTATGTCAAAAGGATAGACCATGGATCAATGAGTGTACCAAAATCATACGAGGCCAAGGATAAGCACAGTTGCCCATTTGGCCTTTGTGCTCAAAGTTACGTGTCCCTATGCCACAGCGCATTGGAAACCAGGTCATTTACAAGGGAGACATTCAACAAAACAGGAAGCAAATCAGTTGACGCTTTTGTAATTATTTTGTGAACGGGAAGCGAGTGCGTGCACCAGCTCACGTCACTTCGTTATCTGCCTGCGTGTCGTGACGGTTAAGGCTGGTCAAATGCTATTACCAGCAACTCGGCGGGTATTCAGCGGGTTGGCTGTTTGCCCAGCAACCTTGTGCCCTGATCCGTTTTTAAGGAGGTTTCTTATTCATACTCCCGCTTCCAACTGTCTTTTCGCTCAATTTTTAGCCCTTCTGGCAGGCGATTTCTGCTTGTTATGTTATGTTTTTGTGGCCGTAGTTTCTAAGTGCTCTTCGGCGATTGCGCATGAAGATGACTCTCTGCTCGCTCAAGTGCATGGTGGTGCCGAAGGTGGCATTCACAGGACGCCATAATTCAGTCAGTTCCTGCTCAGCGCAAGATTATGATTAGCTTTCACAACACTTCTACAACATGCATTGCACACCACTAAGATTGTAGTTCTCAGAAAAGAAGTGGGGGCTCGTTTTGACGCCTGCGTTCGACGTGGCAAACTCTTTTCGTCCAGGAACTTTGACTGTGTAATAATATTTGCCACAAATGTTTCATATCTGCAATGAAAAGCAGCAAACCAGCAGTAGCATCTTACCTGACTGATTGAAACTGTTCTTTAAAGGGCAACTCCGCTCAATTTCGATATAATGAGTG